TGTGTGTGTGTGTGTGTGTGTGTGTGTGTGTGTGTGTGTGTGTGTGTAAAGCAGGCTGAGGAGCTGGGTGGTGGCAAGGTAACAGCAGTGAGAGGAATGGGGATGTTTGATGTGAATGAGGTGGCCAACAAGGTGAGTCCTCATTGTGGAAGTGTCGGGTGGACAGAGTGGTAATGGTAATATTTGTGTGTGTCTGTGTCTTATTTTGTTGGCATCTGTGTGGGCTACCAACCATTTCCTCCTTCTCTGTATAGTTTATATTTTTCATTGCACTTTAAAGTCAAGGTTACTTGCACAGCAGCTCTGTTCAAAGTGTTATCAGGTATTTTAGGTGTGTGTGAGAGTGTGTGTGTGTGTGTGTGTGTGTGTTTGTGTGTGCGTGTGTGTATTGTGAAGTGTGCTCGTTATGTCTTTTTTAGATGTGACTGATGTGTGTGTGCTCTGAGAGAAGGCTGTGATTGACACCACAGTAAAAGTTAGTTAGAGGCTTAGATGAAACTACACCACTTTTACGCAGTGCAACACTTTTTTAAGCAGTGCTTTTTATTTCTGGAATAAGTGCCGCTGAAGCCTGCTCCCAATGTCTTTGTTGCCATGTGCATGTATTGCGTGTCGCTTGGATGGAGCTTTGTCACAAAAATGTCTGCATATCAGTGCATGTACATAATGTTTGCATGTCTGTCTATAACTCGATGCCTGAGAGTGTGTTTGTATGCATGACATTTCACTTCTACCTCTTTCATGTGTAGCAGTGCTGTTTTCCGCTCTTGTGCCATTGTATCTTGTTGTTCTTAATCTGCCAATCCGTCCTTCTGTCTGTCAGTGCCTCTCTGTTTTTCCTGCTGCACGGCTCTGAACATGCTGCTGTGCTATCTGTGCCTCCAGCTGGTGTTTGGCAGGCATCATACTGTTTCCTGTCCTGAGTCACGCTGCCCGTGTGTGTAGCCTTCACCCTCCACCTGTGTGCATTGTTCCCAGTTCACTTTTTGCTTATTTCCAGGTAACGGACATGAAAATATGCTTCAGTCATTCATAAGTGGGTCCAAAATAATCCATATCGGAATCAATGTGTTGTTTTTGCTATTATAGGAAAGCTACCTATGTATGTCAACATTTCATCATTACATATACAGTAATGTCGGCAAGCTAATGTAAGCAAACTAAAAAGTAGGTTAATTTGATTATAATAGCAGATACTCTTTAATTTAATTGTAATAAAAATCTAAATGTTATGTGAAACAGCTTTCAATTCAGTGATGTAAAATCAACTGAGGTAAACAACACTAACATCAAATGTAATAATAATAATGTGGGTAAGTGGTGGTGGTATTTACAAAAGTTAAACGGTTAAATAAGTAAATACAAATTTGGAATGAGATGAAATCAAAAACTTTTCTGAGGAATACCTATGACATGAAATGCTGAGATATGTTCACAGACCAGCTGGATCATCGTTAACCCACACATGCATCAAAGTAGGACTCCCTAAGTAACACATCTGCAACTAAGGTGGATCTCGCCATCTCTAGACATAAGCGGCCTGCTTGAAGTGGGCCTATAAATACCTCTGTGATGTATAATTTGGCTCAATAAAATAGTTTGCTTTATAACATATAAACACTCTTTCCATTAAAATAATTGCCAAACCTTCACAAATGCATCTATTGTTTTACAGCCGTAGGTCTGCAATCATAAGTCTGCGCAATAAGTTTTTCGTTCCATCATGAAACAAAGTTTATTGTTTGGGCAATATGTTTTTGATGTATCTTAAGATCCACCTTCAATTTTTAATAAATGTGAGTGAGTTTTTAATGTTGTGGTGAGCCAAGTTTATGACAGGATATTTAATTATTAGACTGTGAACCTGGATCAATGCCTTTGTCATAGTGTCCCATCCCATTCCGTCCAGACCTGTTTGATTGCAATACCTTTCCTCGTCCTGCACGCCTTGCCTTGCCTTGCTTTGGCCCGTGTGCTCGCACATGCCGTCCTTGGCTCTGCTTTGTGCTGCTGGTGGCTGTTTGCTGGTGGCTCAGTGTGCTGTCTCCTGTGTGGGGGACTCAGGGATGAAGATCAGTACCTCCTGCGTCACTCCAGCCCAGCCCTGGACCATGACTCACCCTGCGGACAGCACATGCTGCTGGCCCACCTGGAGCACCAGGACAAGGACCAGCTCCAATGCACCCTGGCCCGCCTGGAGAATGAGAACAGGTCTGTATCCAGGAAAATACAAACACGTGTCTTAGGACACTTTGGTGCATTGAGTCTCGAGCCGGGTTCTTTTCTTCATTTGTTCAGCTGGTGGGGTTATCACTGCGTGTTTGTTTTCACACACAATAAATGCTTCTGAACTTTGATTACACATCAACTCACTGTTGGATTTGATTATGGATTAGAATGAGATTTAGACCAAGGCTTGTCTTAAGACATGAAGCAGAGATGTAAAAGTTTGGTTTAGGGAGTGATTTTCATCAGTAAAGCTCCAGGGGCACAATAACACAAATATGCTTATGTTTACTCGGAGGAATTGCACTCCTTTCAGCGTGTCTTCTGTAAAATAATGTGTTGATAACGATGAAACACTGCACTTTGACAGTTTGTTGGTGTCCTGCAGAAAAGACAGGAAGAGGCCATTATGGATGGACCTGTGTGATACGAGTGTAAAGCAGCTCTTCAACACATTAGTTCAGATGTTAATGCTTGAATTTGAATTTATTGTTTCCTAGTTGTTAAGAGGCTCAGGCATTTTCCATAAATGATGCAAAATTCCTTTGTCCTATCCATTTAATTGGGTACCAGAGGCAACCTTGATGATTCAAACGAATTATTTTCTCGTCTTCAAATCGGTTGTGACCTTTCCACACACACGCACAGCGACATCCAGCTTACGCACACACATACACTTGTGCCCTTTGGGTGCCTGAAACCTTGACCCAGCTCAGTAATGACACTGCAGTGTGCTCTGTTGTCCTATTTATGACTATAGTGGCTACTGTAGCTTAGTTTATAACAGCGGCTGTGGCTCTCATGTGGCTCATATCTGAACAATACATCAGTACGAGAAACAAACACCTTTAACACTGTTTTTATTTTTTGGGGGGGGGGGGGGGGGGGGGGGGGGGGTGTACTGGAGACTTCATGTCTTCTTTAACGGCTTAAAAACACTTAACATTGTTTTATTAGCTTGGTGCCTTTTTCTCAGGGTTACTTGCTCAAAGCTTTTCTACATATTGGGCTCTAACCAGTTGAGAAGAAAAGAAAAACAATTTAAAGGAGAAAGAAATGTGTTCAATTTGCAATTATTATTATTACACATACAGCATTGGAGTCCGTGGGAGTAAAGCTATTGTCAAAAAAATACAAGGGTTGATCCACTGGACTGGATATTTGGGCGTGATGACACTGTGATACGGGCAGCTTTTTAGTAACGCTTCACAGTGCGGTGTGTAATCAGTTGACGCTTAGTATCACACATGTAGGAGATAGAAGACATGATTTATTGCAGCTTATGCGTGAAATGAAAATGATTGCTCTCCGTGTGCTACAATGTCAACAATACATTATCCCCTTGGTGGAAGCTGGAAAAATACCTTTGGTTGTGTTTATGTGTTTTGTATGCTGCACCAGCATGTGGGCTTGACTGTTTTCCCTCCATCTGTCCTCCACTGTGGGTCCTCAGGGTGCTGCAGAGCGAGTACAGAAGGCTCAAGTGGAAGCACGAAGAGGCGGCGTCGGTTCCCATGCTGACTGAGGCTGGAGAGGGTGGACCAGGTTCACCCACGGAGGAAGGGCAGCAGGATGAGGAGCTCCTGGCCGAGGCACGGGTCCTTCGACAACACAAGACGCGTCTGGAGACCCGCATGCAGATCCTGGAGGACCACAACAAACAGCTGGAGTCCCAGCTTTGCAGGCTCAGGGAGCTACTGCTACAGGTACACCTCTGTGAGAGGCATGGTGGTGGGGTGTCAGGGAGAGAGTTGAAGAAACTTTCCAGGAAGAAACTGTGTAATTCCATAATAGAGACAAAGTTCTATTATTAATTATACATTTTGCTATTTTGTAAACAAAGAATTTCATGTTTAGCTGACCTGCGGTCTCAAGGTTATGCTAGCTCAGCATTTGGATGTAAATGGAAGTGTATAAAGTGATATAATTGTTTTTAATAGGAAACTATTGGGGAATAATTAGATATGTAGATTGATAAACCCTGCATTATATAGTTCGCAGTCCTGCATTATGTATAATTCGCAGCTTCAACTGTAATATTCTGCCAATATTAATACACCAATAATAGCAGTTGTAGCAGTCCTTCATTCTTTGGTGCTTGTTGTCTTTCAATTTTCTCAATTTATTTTAGCTGAATGTCACAATTCCCCTGAGTTGATTGGAGGGTTTTAATTAAGAATTGAGGGCATCTTGGTGCATTTCCCCTCGTGGCCAATCAGGATGTGACGACGCCCTGTTTTAAAGGGCCTCAGTGCTGTTGGTGCAAGAGTTATATATATTTTGCCGTTAATGCTTACATACTTTTACTTCTTACTTATTGTGCATGGGGTGTAAAATAAGAAAAACAGGTTTAAGAATAATAAATCCACAAAAAAAGGATAGTAACAGTAAAAGAAAGCCTTCCACATTGCTCATTCACTTTCATGGAGAAGAGTGACTTAAAGGCAACTAGGATATTTTATATTATTACTTATACTATATAAATACTTGTAATATTATATAAGTATTATTCCATTTTTCCATGAACCAGCAGTAGTATAAGTGCCTGCTTTATCTGAGCAGCTTACAGCAACTTGATGCCTTCTCCTCTTGCTCCCCTCTCTCTCCCAAGCACTAGCAAGCCTTATCTAATAAGAGGCTGAAATCCAATCTATATAGATTAGTTTGAATCTAGACTCTGCTGCCACACTTTTAACACGTTCTAAGAGAAGCAACTCTGTCAATCCAATCCTTGCTGCCCTTGATTTTAAGATGTTACTGCCTGCTTTGAGATCCTTGCATGGTCACACTCCTGCCCATATCTGGAATCTGCTAATTCCCTTTGATCCTGATCGCTGCTTGAGATCCTTTGCTAGGGCTCTACTGATGGTAACTAACTCAATTTTGACCTGTAACTAAAGGTGACTGGGCATTTACTGTTCGGGCTCCTCTGCTGTGGACGTCCCTGTCTCATAAACTGGGAAGGTCAAAAGTTGGATCCCTATAGTCACTAATGTGTCCATCATCAACAGCATCTGCTCTGTTAAGGGCCTCTGGTTAACTGTCTCAGCTATATTTCTAACTGAACTGTGGCTCTCAAGTTTAATGGTTTTTTAACATTTGTATGCATCACAGTGTGTACATCCAGTACTTCATGTAAATTCAGTACAATGCATAAAAAAGGATAAGATAAAAAAGAAGAGACGTGAAAAAAAACATGACAACTGCTCTGAGGATGTAAATTTCGAACTTTGGCAGTATACTCTGGCAAGATTGAACTACCAGCAGGGAATACAGAAAGTACAGTATAGAAAGAGAAAAGGCCTTTAGACAGTCTGAGCCTAATATAAAAGGATTTACTGCAGTCTAAAGGAAAGGTGTGAGAAAGAGATTGATAGCGGAGTGGGAGCTGACACAAAATGAGAAAGTGTAAATTGTTAGTTGCAGGAGTTCAGATGTAAATTGTGTCACTGAATAAAGAGAAAGCAAAGGGAGTGAGTGACGAGGGAGAAAGGCACTTAAAATGGAGGTGCAGGATGCTTCTTGTTCAGTTTAAAGCACAGGAGGAGGAGGAGGAGGACATACACATTCCTGGCTGAAGAAAATGCTGTTGAATTCCTTTTCTCCCAGGACAATATCACAGTTTCCTCAAAAAATAAAATCAGCCTTTGTAGTCTGTGTAAGTTTATGTATGAATTCCTCCCAATCTCTGCAGACACCCCGATTTCACGGCAACTACTGAACTTACTCACCTCCCGAGTATTGCCGCAGTGTTGCTAAAACAATACAAAAGATGCTGGGTTGCTTATACAGTATGTGATATTTGGGAATACAACTGAGTTACATTATACATCTTTGATTGTGATTTGAGACTTTCCCCCACGTCTGTCTGCAATGCTGATGTGTGCAGTGCAATACCCTGTCTTTTTAAATCTATCAAAGCACAAATCACAGTAACCTAGTGATTTTGTGTAACAGCTGTCAGGCATTTTTATAATTCTGTTCAGGGATGTCAGTGGGGAGCTGCGGGCTGAGTGCGATAAACTATGAAAATTAATTTCTACGTGAAAGGCAATATGTGTCTGCAGCCTAAAACTTGATGGATATGAGCAACCATTTGGATTGAGCGTTGATCAGTGTTTCCTTAAAAACAGCCCAAAGATGACTCGGAAGCCAACGGATCAGAGCCGTCAACCCTGTCTTCTCCTGTCTCTGGAGGGGGTCATCACGGGGAGCCGGCCAGCAGAGAGACCACTGACACTGAAGCAGCAGGTCAGCTAGGCCATGGCTAGATGTGTGCTTGATACATTGAATGTGAAACCGTGCATCTTCCCCTCCCATCCCCCGCCTAACCATTCATAGAGGTGTAACCTTCTGTGTGTGTTTGTGTGTGTCAGGGGACGATATGGAGCATGAACAAGATACGGTGCTGCAGCTCCAGGAAGTCATCGAGCAGCTAAGAAACGTCTTCCCTTCAGAACCGGGTGAGTTCTGCTACAGCTGCACGGACCGCAGCAGCTGAGCGCCCCGCGCTTCAGAGACGGACTCTTCGCTCCTCTATCACCCGCGGGAGAGTGAGAGATGGAGAGGAGAGCAAATATGTACTGCTGTGGGTCGATAGTCGGAGGGGGGAGATTAAATGGCAGGGAGGAGGAGTAAGATAAGGAGAGACAGTAGCACAGAGAGAGAAAGAGAGCGTCACACACTTTGCAAACCGTCCCGTCAAATTTAAAACACAATTTGCTGGGCCGTCCAAAGCCTGTAGCTTGAACAAAGAAAGGGATTATCATAATTATAGCCTCCTCAGTTATAACCAATATCCTTTCCTCAGCCTTGTGCGTGCATTGCTAAAATTGTAAAAGCTTTTTCTCTCTCTCGCTCTCGCTCTCTCTCTCGCTCTCGCTCTCTTCTATTTCCTAATTTCAGGCACCACCTCACATATCTAACCCCGAGTGGGCCTGGAGTGAAAGCCTGAAAAGAAGCCTGATGGCAGAGGGATGAGCTCCATACGGCTGAGGTCAGGCCACAGTACAGCAGGCCCTGTGACCACTGCAGCAGCTATGATACCCAGAGCTAACTCTCTCCTGGAATCTGTGCACTAAAAGCCTTTTTCATGCAAACTGCTACAGGCTCACGCTGATGTCGGTTTGGCCAGGCTGTGCTTCATCACTACAGTGGCGCAGCCTGACATTATGCTGACGAGCCAAAGGAAACTAACATTAGCAGCAGGTCAGGGAGAGACTAAAGTAAAGGAACATGCCCAGCCAAGACACTGTGCTAACCAGTACCTGTGTAGTTGTTAGAAGGTGTGAAGCTTTATATGTCCACAGCACAAATTGGACCTTTCTTAAGGAGAACTTTAAAAAATAGAAAAAAAGGAATAAGAAGAATATCCCCTTGTTTTGTCAGAATGCCTGTATCGTCAGTGTTTTTTTTTTCCTCCTTGAATGTGTTATCATGGTTGTTATCTTTGTTTTTTGAAGGGAGGCAGCACGTCAAAGCTTGCTAGTAAACTAGATCAGGGCTGGGCTGACTGCAATTCATGTGGCTGCGTGGTGCAGATTGTCAGGGAGTTGACAGCACCCACAACGAGCTTATTTACTTTGTGAGAAAGACACATCATCAGTTAAATCCATGATTTATTTAAGACAGCCAAAGTGCCCGCTAGCACAGCGCGTCTGTATGCACACACTGTGTTCCTCTAATCCTCTCAAACTGCTTGTCGCTCTTATTGCTCCCCTTTCTTAAATGAGCCCTTTACGCTCATACAGAGCCACTTGCACTCACCGTACACGCGCACACACACACACACACACATACACACGTATGCTGCTACATACACACTCCCTATTTACAATGCACGCTTTCCTCATTGTGCGCAAATGGCTCCTTCCATGATCAATAACGTGCCATGCTGCATCACTAAAAATACAGACACTTCCATGAAAATGGAGATCCATTTCATCTCTTTGGCTCAAGGGATTTAGGCACGCTCCCGTTTTGAGCCAATTTGTATTGTGGCTTTTGTTGAGGAAATGTCTGCCGATAAATATCAGCATGCGGGCGTCGACTCTGGGATCTTCTCCCGCTGTGTGCGGAGAAAGAGAGGGAAGGAGCTCCAGGCGATAGTGCTGCAAGGCTGAAGCTTGCTTTCTCCTTATAGCCCTCTTTCTACATGCCTAATTTTCCTTTGCTAATGCGTACTTAATTGCGATTAGATGTACAAAAAGACGAGTGGTTAAAATATCATTGCCCTCATTGTATCAGGGTCGTAGGGTGCGTTCTGTTCTAGACATAGCACAGTCATTGAATGCCTTAAAACCAAACTGAGTCCATATGAAACCAGAGTTCATCTCTCTGGACTTCTTTTCTTCATTGTGTTTTTAGATTGCATCAGGAGTGTGTGTGTTTGTGCGACACTGTTACTAACTGGAACAGGAACAATGGAAAAGTGTCGAGAGCAGAGCATCCATACGTTGAAAACATTTAAATAGGGCTTTTATGAATGAGCCTGTGATGCTCTGAAGATCTGAGAAATGAGAGGGGAAAGGGTCGACAGAAAAAAAAACAATCCACCTATTGCTAGAGGGCTGGTGGGAGAGATTCACTTTGATGGTCCTGCCACAGCGAAATCTCCAGAAGCAGGATGCCTGAAACGAGGAAGCTGTGGCTCTGTGTGTTTCTCAGCAAATCCTACTGCCTCATTCTCACAGAAAACAGAGAGATTAGGAAATTATCTAAGACCTTAAATGACACTCTGACCTCACTCACGAGTTTTAAACCCATGTACTGCATTTATTACAGGCTTGCCCTCCAGGCACCCAGCGCTCATATTTTACACACTATCCTCCTCAGCACTGGCTGCCCGTTTTGATACTGTTGCTAGGGAACTGTCCCCAAGGACGCGGTTCCACAGGTTTGTGAGTTGTAAAGGTGATGTGCCGCTCGTAATACAAATGTTAATAGCCTTAAGGGAAGCGAGAGAGAGAGCTCCCTTCTCCTCTTCTTCACTTCCACCTCCACTGAAGCCTGTTGCTGTTCAGCTGCTGATCATTAGCATCAGTTGAATCCATCTCCAGCATCACTTAAGATTGTTTTTCTGGTGAAACTCTCAAAAGTCAGAACAAAGAGTAGCAACTCGGCTCGTGGGTGAACAAAAGAAAAAAGCCACGACAATGCAATGTTTATTCATTCATTTATTGCTATTCACACATCTCATTACACATTCATGATCACTTTTATCTCCATACTTTGTGTGCGGATACACAGAATGATGCAACAGTGACAGCGTGGAGAAAAAAAGAAGCAGAGGAACTCCCCACAGGGCTGCCTGTCAACACTGGTCTTGTTTATTTAAAGGCAATATAGACGAGGCAGGTCGAGATGAACACACCAGGTGGTTATATGACACAAACAGTTTGTCCCCATGTTTTCTCTCTGCTGCCCTTTGACACCAGTGACTTTGATGGTCCCCCAGCTGCAGTAGAGTCATCTCTCATTCACTGCGTGATCATCCGGTCCATGCACTAATTTCTATACTGGTGGTGGCTCCCTATATTCCCTGCACCCGTTGAAACAGACCCTGCTCCCTGTGGCGTGACTGAAGCTGTGCGATTGAAGAAAAAGGCTTTCCGCAGAGGCAAGAGTCACCCCAGAGGACACTGCTGTCTCTCTCCAGACTTCTGTTACTGCATGTAGCCAACACGCTGACGGTCATTACTCCCCTGCCTTTGTTTCACAACATGTAGGCTATCATGCACCTAAGCTTACATGACGACGAATCATCTAACCTCAAACAAGGTGTTGATAACACTAATACATGTATACACACACTCATACATTACTGGTGAACTGAGTTTTTTTTTTTTTTTTTTGTTAAGATCACCATTAACATACCTCATTAATCATTCAAATGTTTAATGGTTTTGATTTATGTCGATGTCCAGCGCTCAAACACTTCTTGCTGTCTTTTCTCTGGAGTTTTTAATCTGTATAAAAAGTTTTCTGAAGAAAGGCTTTTTACTGTAATAACAAGTGGGTTACTGGCTGCTTTTTACTCTTTGTGTACAGAAATAAAAACTTTGTATTTGGCAAACTCCTTGTCCGAGTGTGCTTTCTCATGTGCCTGCAGTTATCCCGATGAGAACCGAACAATGAAACTTAACTGCCAAACGCAGTCTGTTTGTATTAATTTTTCCTCCTTGTGTTTATATTTGGATTTGTTTGTGGCAGAATCAATATTTCCTGTTGAGATTTGAGGCTTGGCTGTTTATCACTTGTCTATCCTGCTGTCTCCCTTTCTCCATCCATATTGCTGTTAGTTTAAGGTCTATTCATCGTCCCCTGTGGTCCTTTGGCTCTGCACAAGATAAATTCCACCCATTGGTCTATTCTGATTGAGTGCCACCATTTCCTGTCTTATCACAGGTGGCTTTGTTCCCTTGGCTTGTGCCTGGTCCCAGTGCAGCACCTGATTGGCATTTGACCTTCTTTCTGACCTGATCCTGCGCTGGTATCTTGCTCTCTACATTATCTTTGCCTGTGCTGGTGGGCGCGGGATCGCTATCTTTATCTGCTGCTCGATTATCTGGTACACCCTGCCCGTCCTCATGAACCACGACACTCTCTATATTTTCATTATCTAACCCCTCTCCACTCGCTCTCCCACTCTCTAGCTCTTTATTACTCTGCTTAGCTTTCACATCTGGATCTTTCTCTGTGTCTGCTTCATCCACTCCCTCGGTCTCAGCAGGGGCGGGTTTTTCTGAGCTTTCCTTGTCTTCTATCTTACTCTCTTCCGTCTTCTTTTCTACTTCAGTGGCTTTCTGTGCACATTTGACGGTTTTCTTTCTTGCTGCACTTTTTGCCTTGCTCCTACCAGGCCCCCACTTCTCCTGTGTTGTCTCCCTGTAAGTCTTGTTCTGGCGGATGTGCATAATGCGAACCCTCTCACCCAGCTTTTTCAGTTCCTGGCGGACAAAGGGTTTGAACGTTGGGTCCAATTTCTCCACCTTATCAAAGTCCCTCCGAGCTTCATCCTTGTTGCACAAAGCAGCATGTGCTTTTGCCCGTTGATACACTGCCTTAAAGTTACCTATGGGGGAAGAAAATATAGGCTTACTATGAATGGCTGAAATATTTACATGTGAAGACCTCGTGAGGATAACAGGAGAAGAAACACAGCTGTAAGATCAGGAGTCAGAGGGTAAAGTAAACTATGGGAGGATGAAATAACTGCACTGAACACCAGACAGGAGACGAAGTAGAAGGCAAAAGTTGGAGAAAAGTAAATGAAGGGAAAAGGAAAGCATAAGAACAACCATTTCATCAGCCTCAACTATAAATAATTCAGTCATGGCAGAAACAAAGCAAACAATGAATTCATTTTTGACTGTGATGTCCATGGGTGGGTGCTGGGGGAACGAAAGAGACTCAGCAATGTGGTTGTGAATGTTTGGTTTCTTCTTTTCCTGGTAAACAGAGAGATCAAGGATTGCTGCAGCGTGAAGGCAGGCGTTTGCTGAGGGCCAGGCATTTGTACTGGAAACAGATCTTGATATTTTTAAACTCAAAAATGAAGGTGTGAAAGGAAAAAAAAAACTGAAAACAGAGCATGTTTATACTTAGTCATGTACCTATTTCTTTATCAAAATACATCTTTTTGTTTTCTCCCCTGCTTCAAACTCTCAACTTCACACCAACAAGTATTACCTTTATGTTTCTTCAGCAGCTTGTTGTTGAGCTCCACCACTTGCTGGTATTGTTTGAGCTCCAGCATACACTGGCTGAGGTTGAGAGTCAGCGGAAGACATACTTTCTCTAGCGAGTCCCAGTCCTCGCCCTGTTGATCAACCTGATGAGCACAAAGAGAGGACAAGGTGGGTGGGAGTCGATTGGGTGAGGAGAGTGGAGGAGGAGGAGGAGGTGGTGATAGATGGCAGAGGAAATGTTCAAAAGATGAAACAAGAATGAAAGAATGTGACAGCAGGAACGCGAGATGAGGATATAAGGGAGGAATGATGAAGACAGGGACAGGGACAAGGAAGTGTGGACTGTAAGATTAGGTGAAATGAGGATGGAAGAGGGTGGGTTGACGAGAGGAGGGAGTTTGTTGTCTGTAAAAGGCATGAGGGAGTTCGACAGCGAGGCGTGGCAGAAGTGAGGGAGAAAAGAAGCACAGGCGAGCGCTGTCACGGTGATATCTCTGTGCTGTTATATTTAGAGTTCTTTTCTCTGCTCTTCCCTTCGCTAGCTACAATGCCACAGCTGATTTTCAGTGAAAGAAAAAAGAAAAGAAAGGAAACGATGACAGATGATTATACTTTAAGAGCCACAACCCTTTTGTAGGACTAGTTTCTGTCACATGCAATCCTTTCATAACGCTGAATAGAGTGGACTGCTAACGTCAATCCTGACGTCCACCTGGATGATCATTGAAAAAGTTTTATCTTTTTTTTCCAGAAAACATTGTTACTTGTGTTCATGCTTTTACACAACTTCACTATGTAATCAGTCACACTCACCATATTCCGAAGGACGTCCACATATTCCATGGCCTCCTTGAACTTTCCAGAAGCCTCTTCAAATTGATTTTCTTTAATGAGGAAGTTTCCTTCGTTCTGCAGCAACATGACCAGTCGTAACATCTGCTGCCAGTCCTTCTCCTCTTTTTTAGTGGCATCGTTTGGATTGGTCTCAGAAGAGCTCGCTTCCTCTTCGTTATCTCTTCCTTCAGTTGGTGTAACCTTATTTCCCCCGAGTTCCTCTTCATGGCCTTCAGCACAAAGAATGGATGGAGACTCTGCTTTACCTTTTTCTTCCTCCGCTTCATCTTTACTCTCTGTGGTCACACTTTCACTGTCCTCTTGTTTTTCTTTGGCTCCCTCATCTTCTTCTTTCTCATCTTCATCATGTCGCTCCTCCTCTTCATTTTTGTTCTTCTTTTTCTCCAGCTTGTTCCAGTATTTCTCCTTCTCCTCCCAGTACTTCTCCTTCATGCTCTCTGACAGGGCCTTCAGCTCTCGATTGATGAGAGAGGCCAGAGTGATGTCCAGGTGGGCCACCATGTTGAAGTCCCTCCGGGCTTCCTTTTCATTCCACACAGCAGCGTGGGCCTTGGCTCTCTTGTAGTAGCCCTTCATACAGTCTGAGAAACAGAAAAACAACACAAATGCAGACAGATATGAGAAAAGAACATTTTAATGTCCTAACCATGAGATATTGAATAATAAACCTGCTCTGTCTGCTGAAGCTCAAGTGGCGATTTGTCTACATTTAGGACAGTGTTGGAGGTGTGTACCGTCAGTTTGTGTATTTCTCACAAGCCCCGGGTTGGCAAAACAAAAAAATAAACAAAAAATGCACACACACTGCATCTTATTTCCTAACTTTGTCTAAAACAAAAAGTTTGACATGACGTTTATTCGCTTCAGATGGGAATTTATTCCACTCTCGTGTCTATCTGTTAAATATGAAGTAAAAATACAGTGAATAAGCCCATTTCCCAAAGTGTCATACTATTCTTTTAAAACACGTGGCTACACAATCTCACACATCCACGCTGTGAGTTTTCTGTTTCAGCAGAATAGGCTCATGTGCTTGGTTCGATAACCACTGATGGCTCAGGTTCTCACTCTTCCTCTGCATTTAATTTCCCTCTAAGCTAAACCTTCATTCAGCCAACATTCAAACAGATTTCTTTGTTGCCTCTGGCAGAAGCCGAGACACTGCAGTGAGCCACCATTGGGCGCTTTTCTAAAGAACAACTGGGCTGAAGGGATAACACAGCAGTAGAATGGCTGACTTTAACTGATACAGACAACATGAGTTTGATGACAGGAGGAACAACTACACTAGCGGGTAGAGCTAGAAAAGGATTAGTAAAGGGAAATAAAGACACTGAAAAGGGAGACAATGAGAAGAAGGGAAAGGTGGAGTGATGTATGGGATGGATCATTCTTAAGAGCTCAATGAAGAGGGCTGCTGCTTTGTGTCGATAGCTCTTACTGGACCAGTGGAGCTCACAAACTCCCGGCCATCATTTCCACAACACCCCATCACTCTTAAACACGTTTACACCCTTTCTCCTCCTGCCACACAAGCTCAAGCACAGACATCATAGCGTCACACACATTCACGACTGTACACCTCCTCCTACCACACACACACACACACACACACACACACACACACACACACACACACAAGGACGAATATAAAACTGGGAATCCGGGCTGAGGGACAGAGAGTAAAATAAAGGCTGGCTCAGTGGATTCTGTCTCTGGGTGAGGGGCATAATTCATAAGGCTTTGAAGTGGAGACTGTGCCAGCATGTGAGCTCCTCTAAGATTATATGAGTAGCCATGGGTATGACAGAACAATGCAGAGGGCTGCTCCAACTGTAAAGCCCTTTGTAATGTCAGCTACAGCCCTCCTATACACTCTCAAAGAATACACAGCTGCAACATGCAACCACCACTGCAATAAAGCAGGCATCAGACCCTGTCAGCTTTTTGTTTGTCTCTCAGGGATTGTGACTCTGTACAGGCCCTTATTTTACTCATTACCGAGCAGCTTTTCATGTACATGATTGCAAAGAATACTTTGACATTTTGGCTCTGTCCAAAGACGCCAAAAATCTGTCTACCAACACCTTTAAATCTCACTAATTAACATGTTATCTCTTGTTTATTTAATCCGTAAAAGCAACAAGTTATGGGTTGGACAGAGCCACTCAACTATCCCTGGAAATGGTAAATTAAAGATGTGTTTCAGTGCCAAAAACAAGGATTAATTAGAAATCAGAAAAAATGAGAACAATTAAATCTGGCAGATTTCAACCAGGCTTTTACCGTTGTGTTTCTCCAGCAGTTCGGTGGTGTGCTCTATAACTTCATAATACTCCTCCAGCTCCAACATACACTGGCAGTAGTTCAACTCCAGGGGGACGATCATTCGACCCAAATTAATGTAGTCTATATCACCCGGCATCTCCTACACAGAGGGAGGAACAAGAACATAATCAGTTGTGTTTGTTGGCGTCTTCTACGCATATTTTAATAATTTATTTGAATTCTGTAGGTTTGAATATTTTTACACAGACTCAAACATGACATGACTTTGGGACCACGAAGGATACCCAAAGCTTCATCTCTGCTGAACAGAGCTTTACTAGCTCTTTGCACACAGGCCAACTATCTGAAAGCCTCCACCATCACACTTGTAAATATGTCTTAAGTTGCCAAAAATCATTCTCACGCACAAAAGAATCCTCAACACTCTCTTATCAAAATATCTCATATCTTCCATCCTCCTCTCATCTAAGACAGTGATCCACTGCTCTTCTTTCTTCTTTCCTCTTTCCTTTGCCAGCCCTCAAGCCCTACTGCCTGTAATCCGGGACACAGTGAAGCAGAGCAAAACAGGAAAACAGGAATCTCCCACTGGAAAAGAGCGGGAGTTGCATGTCCCAAAAACCTAAAATCCTGAGGAAACCTCAGTAACAAGCCTGAACATCACTTGTTTTTCTCCCTCCATGCCATCTGTCTTCCTTAAGCCTTCACTCACTCTGGACTGGACTGTTTTCAGCAGCAGGACGGCCTCTTTGTACTTGCTGGCAGCCTCTCTGTATTTTCTCTGCTTGACCAACATATTGCCCTGCATGTGGAGAATTGGCACTGTCTGCAGCTTCTCATCCTTTTCCATCATCCATGACTCTCTTTGGTAGGACATGGGGTCTCCCACCTGGAAGCCGCAGGGGCAGGAGGAGAGCACAATAGAACAAAAATAATCAACAGGAGAAAAACTCCACTGATGGAAGCACAAGTGAAGGAACAGGTACAGAGAACAGCTGTGGTTGAAAGAAAGTAAGTACATTTTTCTTTATTTCAATTTAAGGTATTTAAATTGTTTTTACGTTCAAAACATATGATAAAACATGATATATTTAAAGATTAATGGCCTGCACAAACACAGGTGTTTTCAGTTTTGTGATGGCTGATTAGACCTGCTCAGGTTGAAGTTGAGTATTTTTACGTTGTGGTATTGTTGCTTTTACTTAAGTAAAGGAGTACATCGTCCATCACTGAAGAGTTGTCAACTTGACTGAAAAACAATGTGAATCTGAAACAGATATGATGTTTTACTGCTGCTACTGGACTCCCTGGTGAGTTTCAAGCATGAAATATCATTGCAAAGCTGAATATATTAGGTAGAGCGAAACTTGACTTCAGTCATTTATGTCGGTGAATTCCCCAAAACTTTGTAGGAGTGCCTCAGTTACAGAAAAGGATTAGCTGAAAAGGCATATGTCATTTGTTTTTTACAATGTGCTTATCTTTACAGATGCTAACATCTGAGAAAAGATCAAAACTAGAAGACAGCTGATTGTTCTACACTGTCATCTTTTTTCTGCTATCCAGTGCGACATACAGTGTTTTGCCACTGGTGCTTACCTGCAACAGCTCCATGATGAATATAAGTGGTTGAGGAGTTCTCATTATCTCATCCAGCTCTGGGAAACCAGTGGAGTGATAGTGGAACATGTTTCCCATGCCGCACATGTGTCTCTGACCCTCCAGTGGGTCTTTCCCTTGAGCGATTAGCCTCATTCCCTTGGACACGATGGGGTACAAGCCTGTGTGCTGCAGAATTAAGTCATCAACAAAAACATAAACGGTTCTGCAACAAGACATAGAAGCACTTAATCATGCTAACCCCCTGGTGCTGCCAGCCAGCGCCAATCAGTCCTGGAAGGAAAACACATGAAACAATTTAACTTGCAAATTACATTTTTCTCCAGAAGGAAAATCACTAGACTTTGCAAGATTGCTCTGTTGTGTTTATAAAGCTGAACATGTAGGAGGCTTCAGAAGGTTGATTTGTGTGAATCATAATGAAGAGTAAAAGCTTCCCTTCCTCGCTCATGAACACTCATTAGGACCTCTTGTAGGGGTCTAATATCCCAGTGTGTGTGTGTGTGTGTGTGTGTGTGTGTGTGTGTGTGTGTGTGTGTGTGTGTGTGTGTGTGTGTGTAAAGTCTGTAATTGTGTGTGTAAAGTCTGTAATTCAACTCACAACAGCATCACACCAGAACTCAGCCACCTCTCCGATCCTCATGGACGCCAGCAGGGTCTCCCAGACTTCCATCTTAAACATCTTTCCGAAAAAGATCTCAGCCGGCCTGCCAGCCAGTCGACTGTCATCAATGACCGTTCGTTCGAAGTTGTCCAGCAGCGTCTGGAAATGGAAAACCAGCTTGGATGGAAAGTGGGAGCAGAGGACAGGAAGAGTTTTAGAGTAATGAGTGATTTAAACCATTCCTCAACAATAAAATACATAGAGAATCTAATAGTGGTGAACAGTTTGTCCACAAATACTTAGGTTGTTACTTTGTCCTTTGAAACAAATCGAGTTTTATTATTGAAGAATCCTCTGGGGACTGTTTTTCAGGCCATGAATAATCTATGTATGCATGTATGTGTACATATATGCATGTTTTCATTGCTCCTTTTTGACCCTGTTTTGTACATCTGATACAACAAAATACAATAGATGAGAGAAAAACTTTGGCAATCAACTTTGATGACGTTCCGCTGTTGACAATTTCTTTAATGTTTTTTTAAACCTTGATTATTTTCATTATTTTCAGAAAATTGTGTTTGACTGAATGCTGTCATATACGTCAGTCACTTCTTATGTGATACATACATGCTGGTTTTCATTATGTGTTCCATCTGTTTGTGTGCATGTGAAAGACTTACAAAAGCCTTCAGCAACAGTCTGTAAAATTAGGCTGGCTGCATGCAACCTTCTATTTATAGCTTGACAGATTGTGTATAATGGCATAACTGTGTGAGCAACCGGGAATCACCTCACCGAGGAGGGAAGACACACACTGTAATACACACACAGGTAAATTCATGCTGGCATTGTCATGGAAAGTGTTTGTCAGTGTCCAGGCTCGGTGCCATATGGCTGGATCTGACAAGGAAGGGAAAAAAAGTTGGCGACCAGCGGATCAGTGGATGAACAGACACAGTGCCAAAAACATGTTGCAATTTGGTTGACCAAATGTTTGCTCTGTGTGTAAGAGCCAGATACAGAATAAATTCCCTCACTTTATGAATAATTCAACAGAATCTAATTGAAGTGGGCAATGCAACATAGGGCTAAAAATAGACTAAGAATATTAATACATCACAACGGCAATTATGCAAGGACTAATCTTCTATCATGCTGAGTTTGACTCTAGCATTATTTAGGTTATCAGATTAACTGTGACTTGATACCTTTGTCCCAGGTGCAAAGTGTGGCAGCGGTCCTCTGCCTCCTGCCAGAATCTTCTTCTTGACTCCTTGATGGTTGAGAAGATACGTCTCCTCCATTGTCTCTCTGCCTCGAGCAGTCCCCGACAGAAAAGTGTGTGTTTTGGAGATTTGTCTTTTCCTCTCTGGGTCTGCGTTCTCTTGGCTTTCTAATTAGCCTAGTGGAGAGAGAGTCTTGGCTGGTTAGCTGCTCTCTGACAGATGGCAGGATTAGACAGGGTTTGGATGTGGACACTTTAATCTGAGGAGCTAATCTCTTGCCTACCCCTGTGATTGGTGGGCAATCCCTGCAGAAAGGAGGGGGAGAGGCAGAGATGACCAACGGGCCAGCAAGAAAGGCCCAGATCACTCTCGAACAAGTTAAGATCATTCTGGAAGGTAATCTGATGGTTTAGTGGGAGTCCTTTACAGTACACAGGAGAGTGGACAGGAAGTAACAGTAACTACTTAAATTTGAGCTAGGACTGGGACGAACAATTATTTTAATTATTGGTGAATATACTTATTACTGTCTCGATTAATAGATGCTTCCATAAAATGTCAGACAATACCATCACAACATGTTCAGTCAATTTCTGGTCACATAAGACAAAGAAAAGCAGCAAATCCTCACATTTGAGACTCTGGAAACAGTTCATTTTTGCTTGAAAAAGGACAAAAGCAATTGATAGATTATCAAAATAGTTGCCGATTAGTGTTCCGTCGGTCAACTAATCAATGAATCGACTAATCATCTCAGCTCTAAATTGAACAGGCGGCCCTGTATGTACATAATAACCTGTTATTCTATACAAAAAACTATTTTCAAAAAGTGTTTGATTTGCCAAAGTTAGGCAGCTCTATAGTTCCATTTCGGTATTCTTAATTAGGGCCAAGTACGACTGTAGTCTGCTGATTGGGTAAAAGGTCAAACATGCTGCCTGTGCTTGTTAGACAATTTAGTTGAAGCTATGGAGCCTTAAAAGCACACAAGTCTTTAACTGTGCTTATCATGCTTGTGCAGATGTGAAAGAAGTACCCTTTGCTGAAGTAAAAGTAATAATACCGCACTGTGAAAATACTCCACTACAGGTAAAAGTATTGCATTTAAAACCTTACTTAAGTATAAGTATTGTGAGCAAAATGCACTAAAAGTATTCTTCATCCACCTACAGAAAAATACATTTATCATTTACCAACATCAATCAGCCCACGTGTGCCAAATGCAAAACTAATGACAGTTTCCAATTCTTGTGTATCGCTGCAGTTTCTTTCATGCAGGTCGTGAAGAACAAAAAGTTGATCAAGACTACATTTACTTTAAGATGACAAGCTTAAGTATTCAAAGTTGAAGCCATCAAATACTTCGATCACACAGTAATAAACAACACATTTTGTCAACTTAATAAAAACAAATATTGACTTTTAATACATAAATCAGTATGCTGTATGCCTATTGTATGGAGACGATAAACTGAAAGAAATGACACAGCAAGTCAGCTAATAAACGCTCTCTCCTCCCTCGACCAAGGCTCTTCTTCTCCTCCTCCTCCTTCTCCTCTTCATGAGTGTGTATGTGAGGCTGAAGATGACATGACGCTGCCCCCTGGTGGTCACTTCTCTATCAATGAGTCCAGCTGCTCCTGCAGGGAGGCCAGCTGTTGGGAGCAGGAAATAGAAGTGGTGATTGATGCCAGCCAGCCCCAGGGTGTAATTGGAGGGTAAGTGGATGATGATTAACATGTCTTTTCACATTCATTTGTTGCCTTCATTTATCAATACAAACAATAACGCAAGACAGTGGGCGGCCACTATGGCCACCATAGCTGCAAAAAGGACTCTGCTGGTAGCTGCTGACAAATTCAATTTTGCGTGATTGAATTTGCTATCAGGCATGAAAATTGTTGGCTCTAAAAAGGACAGCAAGCACAATGCCATCTGCTAACATGGTATTTGACATTCATACAAGATACATTTGTGTAAAGTGCTGGAAGCTGTAGAGAGCTGACAGCGAGGCGCTGGTCCTTGGCTTTTAGGAAAAAGGTTCTCACCTGCTCCATCTCCCGCTCCTCCTGCAGAATGATCTCGTCCAACAAAGCTTGGAAGCGGTTCTGTGAGGAGAGAGAGAGAGACAAACAAGATTTGTTCGAGTCGACACACTGAGCCTCGTTAAATTGTGATGGCTTTAAATGTGTCGGCCTGGACTGCTTATGTCACCATCTTCCTCTCTGACAGAAAGGCCACTTGGAATGCCAGTCAGAGACAGCTGACCTTTTCCCTGAAACCGTGATAATAACGACTGGAGATCGGGCTTTGACGGTCCCAAAACACGAGGCAATGAGAGCTCTAAATGGCAACGTAAAAAACGTCCGCGTCTGCTCATGTTTCACTCATTGTAAAGTCTCCAACAAAGAGGCAGAACAATCAATTTGCCTGCCATTTTTTTCCACATAGAATGCTGATATAGTAGAGGGCTGACGGGAGAAATGTAATAATCAAGGCTTTAAGAAAACATCAACTAAATAATGGCCTCCAACACTGTGTGTAATAAGCTGTTTTCACATCACTGTTGAGAGAACTTCTGCCTCCAAGCTCATCTGCATGTTCTTGTTTATGTTTCTGTACATGCAGACCTAGTTTCTGAATAAGTGAACAGTGTGTGAGAGTGTGTTCATTGCTTACTTTGAGGGCCTGGTTTTCCACTTTCATGATGAGCTCCTCCTGCTGTTTCTTTCGCGCACGGGTGTCCTGAAGCTTGGTTTTGACGCTATTGATCTGCAACTGGTACTCCATAACTGCAGGGACACAGCGGGAGGTTAACACGTTTCTACTGTCACTCAGACGATGCGCTGCTTATGCTTGTGCAAAGAAGAGGAGACAGAAAAAGCTGGAGAGATGATGTGACATCGTTGCAGAGCAACACTACACTGACAAAGCAATGAAGATAAGTTTATACACCGTAGCTTGTTGAACCACAAGGATGCCTCCAATTCAGTTGACAAATTGCGGTTAATGGGAACAACAAATCCATTTAAAAGGATGTGAGCCAGCAGGCCGAAGCACTAAAAGACACAACTAAATCAGTCTGCTCCGGGCTCCAGAGGGTTCTCATTAAATCCAGCCAAAGTGATAGTGCCTCACAACAACAACCTGTGGCCCCATGTACACATCAACTATCTTCCAAGCTAATTGTGTCTATCCTGTGCTTCCTCCAACTGACTTTCAATCCTCTGATACAGGCCATCGAATATGCAAAATCCATCAGGGAGGAGTCTCTGCGGACCCATTTATCACAACTTGGCGGGGCTGACAGAAACGGACACAGCCAGACACCAGCACATCAGGAAAGGCTCTGCTGGGCTGCTACAGTGGAGCTGACTGGCAGTGTTGCTGACTGACAGCTCCATGTATGTAGATAAGGAAGCATTGAACTGTCAGGCTGGACAGCTGTCTGAGCTGCACGCTGAGCCACAACACCCGTCAGACTGGTTAGTTGAGGAGAGCTGTCGGTCTCTGTGGGCGAGGGCGCAGGACGTGCATTGAAGTGAAAGTACGGCTACTCGTGTGTGTGTGTGTGTGTGTGTGTGTGTGTGTGTGTGTGTGTGTGTGTGTGTGTGTGTGTGTGTGTGTGTGTGTGTGTGTGTGTCATCTGACCTAGAAAACTGAGCTGCGATCAAGTCCTAACACCTGGCTACGGTTATTTTTTTTTATCTCTGCTTTGACAAGTATCTGAGGCGGTTTGATTTAATTTCATGTTGGACTAACTAGCAAACACGTCCGTTCTGAAATCAGCAAGCAAATTCTCGGCCATGACTGCTACGACTGAAAAACATGAAAGACCGCAAGTTGGCCGAACAAATCAGCATTCCAATGCAAGCATGAAAGATTGCTTGATTCTAGTGCTGCACTTACTTCCTCCACCTAGTTGTACACACACACACACACTTAATTTTACAACAGATGTAAATAAATATGCACTTCCCACAATATG